CCTTCAGATGAACTTGTAGATAAGCTCACAGCTTGATGGACACCTTCAGTACAGCCTGGTGAGACCCAGAGCAAAAGACCCAGCTATCCTGTGCCTGCATCCTTAACCAACAGAAACTGTGAGATAATACATGTGGGTTGTTTTAAGCTGCTGTATCTGTGATCACTTGTTATGCAGTAATATAAAACTGATCCAATCATGTATAATTCATGAAAGTGAAAATCAGTGTGGACATCTGACAACTCTGGCTAACTGCAGGATGCCCAGAAAGGGTATGAAGACATGCCAACTCTATCTGCCCCGAGAGCTTCTTTCTCAACTGTCCATAAATAAAATATACCTGCAAACTCTGCTGCCATGACACATTAGTCCACAGGCTGATCTGTAACTGTCTTTGTAAACCCTTAATATTAAAGTAGCAGCTGAGAGAAAACGTTTTTTTAAATATGGAAATAGGCACATTTTAAATATACAATATTTGCATGTTTGAAAAAAAAAAGTCAGTTTTACACCTGGGCACAGCATCAGTTTAATGGAAGATTGAAAGCACCAGTGGGCGCATTTTCTATCGGGTTGCCAGAAAAGTCATGATGCATTTTTGCAATGAAAAACATAGCAAAAATACGTCATGACTTTTCCGACAACCCAATAATTTGGTTCCTCTGCTTCCCCTCTCCTTGCACTTCACCCTGGTTCCCTTGGGCTCTGAGAAGGTCCCAAGCTCTCATGCACCACAATTCCCTTTATAAATCCTGTGGCATTTATCCTTGTAAGAAAAAAGACATAGAAGTGTATTTTTAGACTCATGCCTATGACAAGAAGCCCTCATAAATCATTCTGTCTCCTCTTCCCCTTGCCCTTGATGTTGCCTTGGCAACTTTAAAGGTGGACTGTTTCTGCTGTCCTGGGCATCTGGCTCTGCTGAGGAGAGGAGCTGGCACTTTCTTTCCTCAGCTGTGATCTTGGGAACCACATGGAAGCAGTAGTCAGTCTTCTGCTTCTTGTCCCTTGCTGTAGGGAGGCCATCTGTCCAGCCATGAAGGTCTCTCCAAAACCTGGTTACCTGCAAACCCTGACAGTCCTCACGCCAATGGAAACAAGATCTCAAATTATCTGTCCCCTTTATTTACAATTAGGCAGACGATGAGGAACTATATCCTGGTCAAGAGCAGGAGAAAGGCTTGTATCCGGCTTCCTGTATTCTTAGTGATTTAAAATGTGTTTTGATTTAGGGTTGAACACCATTTTATGACTATTTCTCTTTCTCATGAACTGTTTACCATCAGGAAGGAAAAAAGATATGCCTGTCTCCAATGGAAGAAGACCTTCCCTGTAGTTACACAGCAAAGAGACTGAAACCTCATGGAGACACGGTCCTCCTGGCTCTGGGCACCTCTAGCCAACAAGCACTCACTGTGCCTCCGTCCTCCAGCACCCAGCACAGCCTGGTCCAGAGAGGTCCTCCCCATTTGATGAATGCTGAATGACTGTAAGGGCAGGGTGCTAGGTGAGAAAGTTGTGACAACCATTCCCCAGGACTTCTGATTTTAAAAAAACAAAAACAAACAAAATCCTTCCTCGTATATATGNCGGCCGGCCCCATGAGGTCAGTATTATCCATCGTATGCCACAGCTGAAGGCTGGGCAAACTGAACACCAGTGGTCCCGCCCCCAGAGCTCAGGCCATGACACCACAGGGCGCACATGGGTGTGGATAAAAATATTACAGAACAAAATAGCAAAAGGAAAATAGCAGCCTTTCATTAGAAAAACAGAGGAAGCTATAAATAAATGATACGAAATGATGGATGTTTATAATACTGTACTTATTTTTACCTCTGACCTTTAAAAACAGCTCCGCTATGTTCTTGTCACTGGTGTGTGCCACCCCAGGGGGACAGCGGGCAGCCGCCCTGAAGAGGGAAGAGTCCGGCTGAAGGTTTGTGCCCTGTTACCGTGGGGATGGACACTGCAGGCCAGACGGCCTTAACGCCAAGGAACAGCTTGCCTTGTCTCTTCAAGGTTGCTAGCAACCATTTTGAAAACATGTGGTCTGATAAAGTAATAAAACTTGGATCAGCACCTAAAAATTGTGCTTTGAAATGTAAATTGGACTTTCCTGAAATCTACAGGCGCATCAGTGTGACCTGCACATCTGCTGGGGCAAACTGAGCTCAAGAACAAACAGGAAAAGACTAATGGAGCTCTGTGAAGGACACACTCACAGCATTTTCCGAATGTCTTACTTCAACCCAGAGACAACAGTTAATAAGTCAGAAGGCTGTTGATTTGCTCCAGCTGCACACTCCCAACAGGTCGCTGCTCAAATAACACTGTACCCGTTATTCTAGGGCAGCCTCTGGGACTGCACCAGGAGCATTCCGAAGATGCTGAACTTGAACTTGACAGTCTTCTCATTTAATTAATCAGTAAATGGGAAGGAACTGAGTATGGCCCTAAAAGGAAACTAGGTAGGAGGGATAGGTATAAGGAATGAAAAGTAAGTGACCTCTATGGATCACAGAGGAGAGGAGATAAGGTAATGCAACAGATCAACCGTGAGAAGTAAAGAATCACTCCTGTGAGCTGGGAACTAGAATACCAGAGGGCTTACTCGGGAATCACGTGCACTCTCCCTGTGAGGCCCTGCCTGCGACAAGCCAGTCACGTTTCTGGGCCTTGTGACAATAAGAGCCTTCCTCCATATGCTTCAGAGCACAGGCAGTCACACTCCTGGGAAAAGCCTTCCGTAAAATGGTGACCACTGGACCCCGTGCCTTTGTCTCCTTAGATGGGGTCCACCTGATGCAGAGAAGTCCTGGAATGAAAGGACTCAGGCAGCATCAAAGACTTGAAGGTCCTGACTAGACAGCACTGAGTAAGCAGCATAGCAAAGAGTACAAAACCCCAACTATGGGCCTGCTTTGTCCTGGGTTCCTTCTAATGCATGTGAAATAGAAAAAAACAACAAAGTTCCAAAATAATAATCAGCAATCATTTAAAAAGTTAGGAGGAAAAGTCCCTAGAAAGAAAGGTTAACGAAACTAAGCTTATTTAGGCTGGATGGGGGAAAAAAACCTGAAAAGATCCTACGTAAAAGCGTTTTGCCTGGGAAAGACCAGGATTCGGAGACGGTCTTTAAGTGTGAAACCAACTGTGGTATGGCGTCCCCCCCAGGAGAGTCCCACACCTTCCCAGAGCTGCTCTCCCTCATAACCTCAGTGCGTATTAGCTCAATGTCTACCTGGGACAGGTGCTGGGGACACAGCAGCACACAGAGCACTGTTCCTGCTCCCAGTCACAATCTATTGGGTGAGACAGAAAAGTAAACTGATAAGCAAATACTAAAGAGGACAAGTCAGGAAGTTATGAGGACACAGGGCACCAATTAGGAGAGCAAGAAAAATGTTGGCCCAGGGGCCAGCTGAGTGGCCCAGTTGGTTAAGAGCATGAGCTCTGAGCAACATCGTCGCTGGTTCAATTCCCACATGTGCCAGTGAGCTCCGCCCAAGCTGAGCTGCCACTGAGCTGCCCACAAGGGATGGTTCAGCTGGTGAGAGCACGTGCTCCTAACAAGGTTGCCAGTTCAATTCTGCATGGGATGGGGGACACATACCACGCCCCCCACCCCCGCAACTAAGATTGAACACAGCACCTTGAGCTGAGCAGCCACAAGTTGCCGATGGGTGGCCGGATGGCGAATGGACTTGGAGCTGAGCTAGCTGCGCCCTCCACAACTAAGACTGAAGGACAACAATTTGGCTGTTGCCCTTCCTCAATTCCCCAACACTGTTTCCCTTCCCCAATTCCCCAATAAAATCTTAAAAAAAAACAAAAAAGGCACTGCATCTGAGACTTGCGGAATGATGAATCGGGGCTACCCATGTGGCTGCAGGAGTGATGGGTCAGTGAGAGGTTGGGCTCTGAGCATTCCACGCAGAACACTGTGGCCCAGGGGCATGTGCTGGTGCCACGGAGTCTCCGTGGAAGCTGAGGCACTGGTGGGGAGTCACACTTAGATACATGAAATGACTTCCTAAAGTGCCTGCCACACAAACACACGAAATGCTGATTGGCTGGAAGCCCATGGCTGTGCCCTAATGAGACAAATCAGAACGGGTCAAAACTGCATTTCTAAACATGAAAGGTGTTCACTGCCATTTGGTCATCTGCAAACTTACGAGGTCTGACAATTCAGTTCACGAACTCATTCTAGAAAAAGTGCTACATACCTCATTGCTGAATATCACTATGGTCACCTTTGAAGTACTCCCATTGAAAAGCTATGCACTGACGCCAGCGCCTAGCCCACACTACAAAGCAATTTTAGAACTCTTTTTCTGGAATGGCCATCAGAGCTGTTGTCGTATTACCCTTGATGTCCTGAATGTCATCAAAATATCTTCCTTTCAATATTTCTTTTATCTTTGTAAAGAAAGAAGTCATGGGGGCCAGATCAAGTGAATAGGGAGGGTGTTCTAATACAGTTATTTGTTTAGTGGCTAAAAACTCCCTCCCAGACAGTACTGTGTGAGCTGGTGCATTGTCATGATGTAAGAGCCATGAATTGTTGGCGAAAAGTTCAGGTCGTCTAACTTTTCATGCAGCCTTTTCGGTACTTCCAAATAGAAAACTTGGTTAACTGTTTGTCCAGTTAGTACAAAAATTCATAATGAATAATCCCTCTGATATCAAAAAAGGTTAGCAACATCGTTTTGACTCTTGATTTGGACTGACGGAATATTTTCGGTCGTGGAGAATTGGCTGCCATTGTGCACTTTGACGCTTGTTTCAGAGTCATATTGGTAAACCCATGTTTTATCACCAGTGATAACACAACCCAAAACATCATCTTTTCTCTCCAAAAGGTCTTGGCAAACTTCAACTCTCCTTTGCTTTTGTTTATCGGTGAGCTCTTTCAGGGCCATTTTTGCACACACCTTTCCCATGCCAAGATTTTCAGTTAAGATTTTCCTAACTGCTTCTCTATCGATGTTTACCTGGTCTGCTAGACTTCTCACCATCCGTCGACAATTTTGATGCACTATTCGATGAATTTTTGCAATGTTTTTGTCAGTTCTGCTTGTTACTGGCCACGCTGATCTCTCTTCATCAGACACGTTCTTCCCCCTCAGGAAAACGTTTAATCCATTTGTACAATGCCATTTTCTTCATAGCATTATCCCCATAAACTTGGACTAACATGTCCCTGATTTCACTTCCACTCTTGCCAAGTTTAACAAGAAATTTGATGTTTGTTCATTGCTCTAATTCAAGCTCAGGCAGTCTCGTGATGGCACACAAAAAACTGCAACAACAATAATGAAGCCACTCAGCAAGACACTGCCACATGTCAACACAAACACAGCTGGAAGACACTGATATACCAAGTTATGAAACCTTACTGAGTTGTTTGTACAGTGCTGCCAATGTAAGCACTGTACAGTTCGCGAACTTAATTGTCAAACCTCATATTTATGAAGAATCTCTCTCTGACAATTTTATGCAATGAGCAGCCTAACCAAAAGAATACTTAAGGAACAGGGGAGTTGGGTTCACTTACTCTTCTTAGTAAATATATATAAGTAATATTTCTCTCAACACAGATGAAATCTGTACCTTTGAGTCTGCTGTGTTGTCTATAAAATAAGAATATATATAATATGTATCTTACAGGATTGTCATGAGGACTAAATGTGATAATGTAGATAAAATGCCTAATACAGCAGACCTCATGAAATAACATGTACTACTGTTGTTTATGTTTATGTTACTCTTCCTTTAGTGACTTGGCATCTCATATTCCTATAGTTGTAGGAAGCAGAGGAGTGTGACCTGATTGTACACATGATAATAATAATAATAGTAATAGCAGTAGTAGCTGTCACAATGGCATTTATTGAGCACCTCCTATGTGTCAAGCACTGTGTATAAACTACATAAGCCCCAGGAGCACATCACTAGCACTGTGACTGGCCCTCATGCTAAACACGGACGTATGCCCTACGAAACAAATGAAGAATCAGTGAATAAAGGGTCCTTTTACCTGAACTCTAGTTGCTTGAGGTGGTAGTAAGCTTGAGGGTGAGTCTGACGGCAGCCGTTTTAGAAGGCAAAAAATTATTGAGTCCCAAAAGTCAATCATATGACCCTAAGTCTCTGATCTGTGTCTTACTAGATGCTGTGAGGACAATCAGTTCAGCCACATGGGAACCACCTGCAGTCCTGTTCCCTAGTTGCTTCAAGTCCCCTGTGGCTTAAGGGGTAAGCTGTATCAAAGCCGAAACCATACACCAAGCATCCCGGTTTGCACATGTTTTAATTGCAAGGGACAAATAAAAAGGCCACAATCCCTTCCAGGCCCTGAGACAGGGACAGCAAGGCGGACTAGGAAATTTTCCATTTCATGCAAAGCAACATTTCTGATTTAGTTCCAGAACGTAGACATAGCATCCCACGTCTATAGACAGCGCATTAAGGCACATGTTATGCTAGCAGGAAACTTCCATCAAATTGTTTTCTCAGACCTCCAAAGTGGTTAGACAACACATATGGAATAGTTTAATCCATCATTTGCATTGTTCCCTGTGAGAAAACATAATATTCTTTTCTTTCATTTTATTGTTCTTTCAGCCCTATTAAACCTCTCTTCCTTCCTGTCAGCTCCTATTATGGTTGCAACTTCCCTTGTGCCCTTCCTCATTCGCCAAAGGTAAAAAAGTGAAAATAGAAGCTGTAATAGCTTAGCTTGCTCACATGCTAATTTTGAACAGATTCCAGATTGCACAGCTTTTAAAATTAAAGAACTTGCCCTTTTTATCAGAACGACATTGCGATGGACAAACACTAAGGTAACCCAATGGCCTCCCTCCCCTCGAATGCAGGCAGGACATGTAACTCACTTCTAATGAAGATGTGTAAGACAGCGACTTGGTAGCACGCATGCAGACATCTCCTTGCTAGTTCAGTGTTGGAAGTGGCCACGTTGAGAAGCCCATGTGGCAATGGACTACGGGCCAACAGCCAATAGGAAACAGAAGCCTTCAGTTCTACAGCAATGATTTCTGCCAATGGCCTGAGTGAGCTTTGGAGGTAGATTCTCCTTCAGATGAACTTGTAGATAAGCTCACAGCTTGATGGACACCTTCAGTACAGCCTGGTGAGACCCAGAGCAAAAGACCCAGCTATCCTGTGCCTGCATCCTTAACCAACAGAAACTGTGAGATAATACATGTGGGTTGTTTTAAGCTGCTGTATCTGTGATCACTTGTTATGCAGTAATATAAAACTGATCCAATCATGTATAATTCATGAAAGTGAAAATCAGTGTGGACATCTGACAACTCTGGCTAACTGCAGGATGCCCAGAAAGGGTATGAAGACATGCCAACTCTATCTGCCCCGAGAGCTTCTTTCTCAACTGTCCATAAATAAAATATACCTGCAAACTCTGCTGCCATGACACATTAGTCCACAGGCTGATCTGTAACTGTCTTTGTAAACCCTTAATATTAAAGTAGCAGCTGAGAGAAAACGTTTTTTTAAATATGGAAATAGGCACATTTTAAATATACAATATTTGCATGTTTGAAAAAAAAAAGTCAGTTTTACACCTGGGCACAGCATCAGTTTAATGGAAGATTGAAAGCACCAGTGGGCGCATTTTCTATCGGGTTGCCAGAAAAGTCATGATGCATTTTTGCAATGAAAAACATAGCAAAAATACGTCATGACTTTTCCGACAACCCAATAATTTGGTTCCTCTGCTTCCCCTCTCCTTGCACTTCACCCTGGTTCCCTTGGGCTCTGAGAAGGTCCCAAGCTCTCATGCACCACAATTCCCTTTATAAATCCTGTGGCATTTATCCTTGTAAGAAAAAAGACATAGAAG